TGTTCTGATCACCATGGCAACACTCAGACCCAAGATTCTCAGTGCCCAAGATTGGAACAGATGACAGACGAGTCCAGTCTAGACTAGACTTTCATCTCATCAGTGATACAAAAAACAAGAGACTTTGACGCTGGCCAGTTTTGACGTTGGCCTCTGCACTTCTTGTAGCTACTTGCGCCCTCTATATAACAAACAATGCCTAATCGGTGCCCCCTGGCTAAACTAGTGCAGACGGGCTTTAAGACCTTCTTGCAGGCAGACGATGATGCACCCATACTCAATCTGACACAAATGCTATGAGGTTCAGCTTCTGTTGAAACATTGCATATTTTTATAAACCACACTTTATTGCAGGTATACCAATGTAGATTGCAATCAGATGAATTATTTATATTTTTATGCATTTTTGTAAAAACAAGTCTGATGCTGTGATTAGATATAACATTATGAATATGTACAACTGTAATGACTGTAAAATCTCCTCTTTTTTATAACCATTGGAGCTCTTCAAAATTATGTGTAAAAAAGTTGTCACTCACAAATATTCTTTTACTGACAATATTTTGAGCTTGGGAGCTACAAATTGCTCTTTACTCCTTTGTATATTTTGTATAGACTCAGCAAAAATACATTAATTTACTTATATGAGTGTTGGATAATAAAATACATGCAATTGTTCATGCAGATATGAGTGCAGTTTAATGCAGATAAATAAGGTTTTCACTCATTGTATTTTTTTTTTTTTTTAATGTCCATTTTCTTTCTTTTTTTTCAGCCCACATCGGCTGTGTTTATTCTGTTATTTGTATTACCTCACATTAGACTTTTAATTAGAGGGACCAGACAACAAGACAAGATATTGTAGCTTAATGAACAAATGTTTTTGTTATGCAAATTTTATCAGAAAATGCAAGTTTGTACAGGTAATATTTTTTACATTATTATAATGAAAATGACTCTAATATTGCCTTTAAATGGAACACAAAATCTGTTATTGTTGTTGACATTAATTTTTAGTTCCCTCTATTTGCAAAGACTATTATAAAATCTACTACCCTTTGGGGCCTATAACTTACAATCAATGCTTTCACCATAGGCCTCTTTGTATTTCACTCTTCAATTAAAATATTTCATAAATCTTTTAAAGATAAAGACCAGTTCTGGTCATGCGATTGCATTGTGAAAGAAATGGTGTGGAATCGATCAGAAAAGGTTAATCATCTAGGATATACGTATTGGTGTGTACTGCAGGGTTCATGAATCATCAAAATGATAAGAAATTTGGCACAGTCTTGGTAAAGTTACAAGCACTGTACACAGAAAGATGTATATGGGACTACACAAACATTTAGCATAAAAATCTGTCCCGATTGTTATGCTGTTACATACCATATTTAGAATATTAAGGCATTTGAAGAGCCATGCTTTTCAGGGAACATTTGTTATTTGATGTTCTTCCACCCTTGCACAATAACAATTATAACGCTCACAAATTATTTTTCACCTCTTCCCAGAACTTAGCCTTCTCTTTAAGTTCAGTCTTTTTTTTTATGTATTCAAACAAATTGATGTGAGGTACTTACTTTCTGTTCTCTATGTCTGTTAATACATTCCATGTTCATTTGAACCATTTACTTTGTGAAATCTTTGCAAAATGTTAAGAATATATGAAATATTAAACAATAAATTGAAACTAAAAACTATGTACAGTTACTACCTGTATGTCCTATTTTCAAATTTAAAAAATAAGGGTATAGAACCATGCACAAGTTCCTTTAAAAGCAATGTTGGTAAAATTGTTCTTTTTATTTTAACAAATGGATTACTATTTAAGTGAATCAAAAGGGAAATTTGACTCTTGATTTCCGTTCATTGTAATTCACTACCTTTTGTCTAATACATGTAGGCAAAGATGTTTATGTTTGAAATGTGAATATAAATATATTCTTTTTTTATACACATAGTTCACTCTTTGTTTGATTTTCCTTTGCTGTCTTGCTACTCAAAACATTTCAGACATCTATATTTAGTCTATTGATTTATTCAAGAAAATGTTTTATCTGGACATTTTATTTTTCATAGGTTTTATTAACAAAGGTCGAGGACTATCTGTGATAATTTTTTTTTTTTTTTCTCAGCATAAATATAGGTGAGAATATTCATGAGGTAACTGTTGAGATAGACATCTGTAATAATTTATATGATGGAGATCTATGATCATTTAGGTCTTGCGTTAATTTGAACACAATGCCTTGTCGGCATGGAAACCATTACGTTACAGCCGTAAATGGTTATTATATCTGTGCCAATATCAGGATTGTCCTTGAATATTGAATATCAATTATGAATACTTGCTTCATGTAAGGATTTATCATCTTTTTTTCTCCATGCCTAACCACAAGCTATATGTTTACAACATGGTTATTTATTTAGCTGTTACACAAGGTGCAATAACAAAAAACCCCAAAGAAAAATGCAAAGACAAAACGATAGATTAAAGGGTAGCATGGGATGATTGGAAATATGGAAATAAATATTTTAAGAAAGAGATAGAGAGATAGAAAGAGAGAGTCATACTCGTAGAGAGGGAGAGAAAGAAAGAGGTATAGAGATAGAAAGAAAGAGAGAGAGAGAGGGGAGAAAAGGAAGGGGGAGATGACCAAAGGTACAAGGAAGTATGACGGATCTGCAGTTCCCCAAAAACAAAATGTTATCTTTTTTTATTAGGGAGTTTCAATAACTATGCTTTTATCGAAACGTCAACATAAATCAGTTTGACATGGTTTTTACATAACATAACTTGACCAAATCCTGGCATAAGGTCGGAAGTATTAACAAAATAGATTTACCGGTACTGAAAATGTCCTAATAATATGTAAAATCCGCCTATGAGACTACATCATAAGTTGCTCTAGAATACTTGCGGTATTAATCAACCTTATTTCACTTATTTGTTTCACATGTTTACTTTTACAACTAGAGTCAAACGTCCCTCTACTGTGACAAATGGTGATATTGTTGATTGCCAACTGAGATAGAGAACTAAGTTCCCTTTCCGCGTTATTATAAGAGCGCCATCTCCGTTGACTATGATTTCCTGGAAATGAACAGCGATCTGCATTGCTTTATCTATTTCTCAGAAATATGAATGTGTATAATTCCCGTGCGACTTTCTCTACTTGGAACGTGTCGATTTCCTCAGCTGAATACGGAGAAGCGTCTCACTGCGTATACAATTAGCGCTCACTGTATATAGGTCTATCAGTTATGCCTATGACAATCCCTCTGAGATTTATATATTGCTTTAGGTAGACTATATTCTTGACTATCCACAGCTCTTTCGAGGATAAATTTTGTATAAATTATGTTTCTGTTTTCAACATTTTTTCTTAATATTTGGTACTTAGCTTTGAATCTCATCCTAACATATAACGTCGATTCGTTTAATATTATATGACGATTTGTAGTCATATTATATGAATGATCTGATCGTATGCTTCAGTCTGATAGAATATGTTAAAAATAAGAAGCAATTGATTCCAAAATTTACTTGACATGATAAATACATGTATAACAATCCAGTTATTTATTATTATATTGCAGAATTTCAATCCCGACAGACCCCTTCATTCGCAGTAATATTGACATATGAATCCGCCATGCGTGGAATTCTACAGTGATTATTATATAGGCTGATCAAATATCACCTTATCGCCGTATGAGTCATGCCGTCGATGATTACAAATTTCCACGTCCACACCAATTTCGCTTTTTAGTTCTATATTCCGCTCATGACTATTTACAATACTCACTGTTATTGATTTGATCAAATTACTTCCGTATCTATTATTTTGAGCAAATTATTATATGTGAGGCTTTTCTGTGGAATCTATTGTTATTGCAAATCAAAGCAGCTATTGTTATGGTCTAATAAGATATTTAAATTTCTATAAAAAAAAGACTCTGTATAAGACTAGCTTGGTAGGTAGGTAGGTAGGCAAGATGAATTAGGCCTATATTGAATATATAATATATTGATAGATATTATGTGAATACAAAGACCTATATGATACAGAATATTTAAGTAGCTTCATAGAAAGATAAATGGATTGATAGATAGATAGATTATATAGATAAATGGAGGGATAGATAGATAGACGGATTGATGGATAGAAAAAGACAGATTATGCTTATATTGAATTTGGTGTCAGTGCTGATATTGCCTTAGAAAATAGAGGAAAAGTAATTGCCTAACAATTTTAAGACAAAGAGTTCAAAACATAATAACGAGATCTTGTTCCAGGGTTAAATTCTGAAAATAAATGAGTGATTAAAATAGCATAGCACTGCAGGCTTCATCAAGTTCAAACGATCCAAAACAAATCGGAACACGTTACTCATTTTGACGTTTCCCAAATACGGTCCCCATGAATTTCAAAAACGTGTCTGGGCTTGGCAATACAGGCACAAAATTGACCTCTCGCTTACTGACGTTCAAACATATGGGACTTTACCTCCTAGCTACCGGTTCCCCGTACGCAGTGTGTATGTTGTGTTTATAATGATACAATGACGTTGCCCCGTGGAAATTCCGAGAGCCCATCACAAAGGATTAGTGACGTCACCATGATGATCATTCGCGACTCATCCCTAGGCAATCGCTGATTGGTCGAACGAGCTATGACTAGCACGTACACGTGTTCAGTATAATGCCTATTTTTAGTATGCCAGCCCGCGATTGGTCGATTAATTGATTGAATGACGTCAAGCCGGACGTTGAATAAAACCCTCGTGAGTCGCGAGTAACGGTCGGATTCATTCATTACACTTCCACGCTTTGCTGGTAGCACCACGCACTTCTACGACTCGGAATATACTACGTGATTTTGGATTACAAGAATCACAACCTAAAGCTAAACAAGAAAACCAAGCATTTGAACATTTATCCGTGGAATATACTACATCTACTATCTAAAATGGAGGCACAAAGACTTATCACCATGTCTATCAACAAAATTGCCGGCTCTCGTCGACAACGTGGCGGAATTAATCTCCGCAAAAATCTCCTCGTTGCCTCCGTGCTACACTCGGCAAGAATTCATTATTACGAGGAAATGTGCAATAGAATGCCTGGACATATCGCCCTGGAACAAAGTCAACCTGAACCTACAATGGACGATGATTGTACCGAGTCTCCTGACTGGGAAAACGACGAGGAGAACGATGATCAGGAGACAAATTACGACGAGGATAGCGACGAGGAAGAAAATGAAACCGCGGGAAACTCTGCCTGCGAGATCGAGAACAGCCGAGTGGTAGTTGAACAGATTGCCACCGCGGCGGACAAAGAAAATGTTGCCCCATCTGGACATTGCAAGTGCGATAACTCTGAGAATGTAAAGCTTGAAAACAACGGACATCAAGCCTCAGACTGTGATCGTGTAGCTTTCAGCAATGTTTCACAAAATTCACCACCTGAAGCCTGTACAACGACGACGTGTCTCACCGTTCCGAGCGTGAAGAGGAAAAGGACCGACACCGAAGAAGCCTGCGAAACGATCGTGACCAAACGCGTCAAAGTCGACTCACAATGCCAAACGGTTTCCACCCCAGACTGTGGCGCTCAATCTTCTATCTCAACTCTAGTGGACATTTTCAAAGCTGGTTTTCATGGTCTTGCTGGCGAGCCTGGAAACAAACTATCGAGCTATGTGGAGGAGAAGGATTCGTCGTCAAACACCACACCGTCCTACACGACCCTAAGCACACACAGTCGACCATTCGAGTCTATACAAGCCGCTGCAGTCATCGCTGCCTGTTGATGACCGGCAATCTTCCACTGCCAAAAACTGACTTTTAATTTAACGATTTCGCCATGGAAGGAGAACTGAGAATATTTAAGATTTTTTTAATATAGAGTCTTTATCTATATTTTTGGATGAAACCTTCATATTCCAGGGAACTATTCCTCAGTGGACTGATCTGATCTTAATCATGGACTACCATACTGGAGCTAATCTCAATACATTCTTGTATTTACTTTTTGCTTTATAATGTTTATGTCAATGTATAGGTTTAGATTAAGAATTCGCATCTTTTAAATCTTAAGTTTCCAAATTCACGGTGCTCGATTGCAATATAAATTTTATCTTTGATGTAGAAATCGGGAGGGGTGGGTATAATCTAGGCATTAAATTGCCGAGTCCATTCTTATGTAACGTCTTGCGTAGTATCCAATCTCCGCCATTTTGTCATTTCAAAGAACCGTTCAATAACACCCACGTCTAATGACGCAAGAGTTTTCCTTTGTAACACAATGCTTATTGATGTACGAGTAGTACCTTGATTCAGCTATTGTTTGCTTTGTTTAGCATTTTGACTTGGCTGAGGCGTGGTCTTCTCGGGTAGGGTAGGGTTGAACAAAGGGCATTTTCTGGCTAGGTCACGCGGGTCTTGTCTTTGTGTACACTAGACGAGTAGGCACGTATGGAATGTTCCGTAATCAAAAGCCCTTCTGTGTGGTATATACTGGCACCCGCCCTACTTTATGTCTTATCAGTTTATTTAATTGGCAGATCAAGCTTTTGTAATGCCACACTGATAATAAATATACTGGTCACGAATATCCCATCCATATTATGCATCGTATGTTTACATTTAAATTGCACACTTACTTAATATTATTCCTATAAATCATTCTGGAAGATATTTTTTATTTCATAAGTGAAACATTCAACTTCCTTATGGGTGTTTAAGTAATTTTGCCCTGATCTTGTGTAATTTGAGCATATTGATGAATAGGGAATTAGATAACGAAATCATACCATCAGAGATCAAAGTCGAATGAACTTTGAACCGCTACACCGCAGCGGATGTTCGTATAATGGTAATTCGTATCACGCTTATTTTTCTCAGATTTCCGGCGTTACGGTTTCCCGCACACTTCTATCTAAAAGCAAAACCACGATTCGTGGGATACGCGCCAATACCTGTGGATATCCGATTGTGTGTGGGCGGAAATTGCTTGGAAAAATGAAGTCATTATTTTGCTATCTCTCCAAAATACCCATAGTCCATGTTTCCGCTTTAATACCGTTTCCTTCATATTGATGCGATTTTCTTTCTTTTATTATGCTGTAATCCTGACATTGACAAAACTTGGTTCTTGAAACCAAACTCACTCAAAAAATAAAAGACAGAACTGTTCACTGCACAATTTTCATATTGATTCCTCTACGTGTTTTGAGGACCAAGTATTTTTGAATGTGGTCATTCAATGAGATATTGTGATTAACTTATGTATACTGTTTGTACAAATCATGATCGTTCGAACAAATTTTGTTCTTGCATTATTTTATTAAAAAAAGAAAATAGTGTCATCCATATTGAGATGTACACGAATCTGAATTCAAAGACTGAAATGTTTTTTTTTTTCTTACGAATTTTTAACATCGTGTCTGACTGTCTGTTTGGTTGGTTGATAGATTGAGTGATTGAATGAGTGAGCTTCATTGTGACGTGAGTTGCTTATATTTTGTGGATGAACAAAAAGCGTCATGGCTTCGTGCTTTATGACTATTGAGAGTTTACAAAGTAATAAAAACATCAGAAGTTTTTTAATGATTTGGCGAATGTGATTGTGAAAGACGTGATGGTATTACTTTAATTTATTTGAGAAAGGGTCGTGTGGCTGATTGAAGAATGCTCTATTTATAATGACTGATTGCTGAGATAAAGTGATTCAGTGATTGTAACATTAAGCATTTACTGGGAAAACAAAATGAAACTATTTGCGATTGATATGAAAGATGTGTTACCGTTAGGATGAGAGAAATGAAGAGTTGGAGAATAATCGAAGATATTCTTGAATTAATTTAGATAATCTACATGACAGTATGAAACATGTAAAATTCATTTTATATTTAACTAAATACACAAAATAAATTCCACACGATATATTACTTAAATACCATTGATTCGGAATACAGGAACAAACGAAATAACGAATATCTGAAATAAAAATAAAATAATCTTCAAACTGGAGTGATACAGAAAAGAAAAACGTTACGTATTGAAAAATGAAGTTGAGTAAAGCCATGTAAACTTTGTGTGTATATATGCATTATGTCATGTACCATGTACCGGTATACTAAATTACACTACAGTATTTCACTGGTAATATTTGGCAAAAATGTTATTTGATTGTCAGCATTCCTTTCATAGTCCGTCATGATAGTTCCGCCAAGGATGAGTTGATTTTGAAAATCAAATGTACTTGTAGAACGGTAATCTTGAATATCCCAATTCCCAATCCATTCTCTACAACCATTCACTGACTGATCCCCCCCCCCCGACACTCAATCGACCTCGTAAAAAAACCTTTGAGGGCCCTCAGCGGAAATCACAACGTCCCTGATTTACACACAGCAACGGAAGTATCGCTGACCTCTGCGTAGTCGAGCACGTACGTCGTATTTTTTCTCGTCCATACTTCCTGTGTTGGGCCCCAAGCAATGTACGGGGAAATAAAAACGCTTGCCATATGGCGCGAAAATATACCTCTCAACGAATGTTTTCTTTGTCATTTTATAATTTATGCTATTATTATAACAAGATATTGAATTCGTAATATTAATCATGTAAAGCGTATGCAATGTAAGAGAGTCATAATTCTGAATCGTATAGTTTAAATAGGGTTGGGGGGGGGGGGGGTCAAAACATTATACAGAAGTATACTATATTGTAGGAACACTCAAACGTAGAAGTCCTTTTTCCAAGAGGTACTAGAATAAAAGAACATACCCATTTCTAAGAATTCAATAAAAAGATTGTACCGGGAAGCAAACATTCGCTGATGCCTGATGTGATCAAGCCTGAATTTATTAACTTCTTATTTAGTCACTTTATCATTGTGGTATAACACGTACAATAAAGACATCGTGACCATCTCAAATTCTCAATATGCTTCCTCGAACTACATGTTTTCTTTCACTTTCCTTTCCCATTACAAATGAATCACAATAATTTCAAGTCATATTTCGAATGCAATCCCTATACCGAAATTGCAAACCACATGTTTCCTATTGATTTCCCGACACAAATTAGTCACTTGGATATTTGGTGTTCTGATAAAAAATGGGTTAATTAGATAAATTATATATATACAAAGGCATATTCTTATTGTACAATATACATCTATATAATATATAGCAGCATGCAGGCACATGATTAACGCCTTGGTCATAAAGGGAAACGTTTATGGTCCCTCCCTCCTATTTATACAAGTAATTCATAATGTAGTATATAATTTCTTCTCCATACAGATAAATAAAGTCTGTCTTTCTTCCTCGTATTTCGTACAGGATACAATCGGATAACGAACCCATAACCACATCCAGAAAAGTGGAAATGTAGCACCAATTGGGCCATTTCCTTCCTCAAAGAATTCGTGTCGAACATATCAGAATTAATATTCCTAATCAGTTATTTCAAAATGGCGCACCGCATCCAGAAAAGTGGACATTTAGCCCCCATTTCCTTCCTCCAAAGAATTTAATGTTAAAATAATAAAATTATATCGTAATTTGTATTCCTAACTATAATATTTTGCTATGGCAGCACATTTTGTGTGGATCAAAGGGGGGGGGGGGGGGTCGAAGTGTTGCAGCAGCCAAGACGTGGAAGGAAATATCAATAATTTATATTTCAATTGAAATTTCATTGAAATGTTAAACCGTATAATAATAGAAGTATGTCGAGTATTGAGATAACGCCCTGTTAATCGTGTGAGGTCATGTCTCGAGTAGAATCACGAGGTGAGAACATGGACAAAATCATTTTTAAAACGATCTGTTGCAACAATCAGTCATGTGACACTTGCGATATAATCCTAACATTCGGAAATATGTTTTCGTTAGACCAAGAAACGTTTAGTGTACGTATACGTAGTGGAATAGATAAGTTGACACGTATGTTGATGATAAAGAAACAAAGACACAACAAATTATAAAAAATCCTGACGAAAACAAGAGGAGATACGGATGAACGTAATGACACACAAAATATGGCTTTTCGAAACGCTATATGTTCGTGGATGAGTTTTTCGAAAAATAAGTTGACAAGATAAAACATGGCTAAGTTTTCAAATTGATTATAGCCCCTATGCCTTATAAATAGGGTCATCGCTACCAATCTCACTGGTATAAAATTAATGACTCATTTTATTTCACCTTTTCACATTCGATATTTACACAGCAGTGGTTCAAACAGAGATGTATAGGGAAGATGAAACAAATCAACAAAATGTCGTCGTTCAATATATGCAACATCTGTTTTCTATTAGCATTGTCATAATTCCAGTTTTAAGTACAGTAAGTTGGTTCTCGCAAAAAAGATGGCAGCTAAAAACAGAATAAAAAATATGTGTATTATTATATTACATTTTACATATTATTTTTTTCCATCTTGAACAGTTTGGTGAAACCAAATTCATATGCTGGTGCGCAATCGCTTTGAAATCTTGCGAGAATCACGCCAAACTTGAGTTATATCCTCGCCTAAATAAATACACAAGTATACATCAAAACTTGTCTGCCAAAGGCAAAACTAAAGTGCATGATTGTGTAGGCATAAATGTTTTCTCAAGGGATATATTTTCTCGCTTTCAAGTTCAAAGACACGGTAGATTGTATTTGTTTATGGTATTTATAGCTTTAACTTTATGGGCGATCACAGTCAACCAGTGAAACGACGGTCGAAAAAGACACGTATAATAGGATGCATGCGTCATCGTTACGTCACGTGTGACATTATGATTTCCTGC